AAAAATAACTAAGGCAAATTAGAATAGTTCAAAATTCTCACCAGAACTCTTCTAGTTGCTTCTATTTTTACGATTTGATGCCAAAAAATACGCATCATAGTGACTTTATATTAACTGGCATCTGTGTACTGTTTTGTTTAAGGATGACAAAATAAATGCCTTAACTTCACAGGTTGAAAAGTCAAAATAATAGAATTGTGCATACCGTATCCGACTTTATATCCTCCTCTAGATACTGCACAAGTAAGTTAGTTATTGTCAGTCTTATACACTCTCACTGTCCACTGAGCTTTTGGAAAGATGATAACCTCCATATTTTTAAATGAAGAAAGGAAACCCCGCCCTCTTACAGCAGATAGTTCTTTTGTGCATCAGCAAATTGCTATTTGTAAAGCACTGTCTCGAAAATTAAAATTCGATGACAAACCCAGGGCTCTGGTTTGTTACCAATTTTTCTCATTATTTTCTTGTAAATGAAGGTAACTTTTTGCATTATGGGTATTAACCTGGTTTAATATGTACTTGAAGGTTATCGTTTCAGAAAGGCCAACATTTATAAATTAGTACATGAAATTGTTTTGAATCAGAAGAAATGTGCATGCTTATGTGTGTTTTCAACACTAAAACAGTGATTGTGCCTTTTTAGAATGATTTTTCTAGATGCTGTACAGGTACAAGCATGTTTTGCAAAGAATTTTGCTTACCTTTTTCATTAGTGCACATTTCTTTTTCTAAGAATCTTCTTTATCTGACCTACGCTGAATTCTAATTTTTGAACCAAATTTTATATTCTTTCGTATGTTGGATTAGATCTCCTAGTATAGGTTGATAACAGGCCTTTTTAATTTTTTAAAATTACATGAAATCTTGCAGATCTATGGCAAATTAATTTTCCTCTTATGGCATACAATATTAACATTTCATTATGTATAGTCATTAGTAATTAAACTTTTGTTCACAGCCTATGCATCAAATTTATGTTAATATTGTTCTTGTTGTCCTTCCTGAAACTAGTTTAGAATAAGAATGAGTTACTTAAAACAAGCATGGTTTTTCACAATGATAGTTTCAAGGCGTAAAAAAGTAATTTTCCTCATGAATACATGAACCTAAATCTGCTGGCCTACTTAAATCCCTACTACCTTGCCCTGACAGCCCAACCTCATTAAAAAGTCAGCTACAGGAGGGAAAAGCAAACTTAGGACACAAACAACCAAGCTGTTTCAAACATACACCCTAGTCAATCTTCTTGGCCTATTCTGAATATCAAATTTCTGACATGGCATATATGCAACAAATTTTCCATTTCCCTGCATAATTATTTCGTAAATGGTGTTTACAAATTGTGGAAAATGGTTGGGTTGAAATATATTTCAAAGATTTGCCAGCTTGTTGCAACATATTTAGTATAAAAAAGGGAAGATAAACCTGAGCATTCAATGTAAAACCTGATTTCCATCTTCCAGGATGGAATATTTATTTGCTAAGAAGAGAAAATATCATCTAAAACTTTTCAACCTCTTTAATGTGGCCAATAACAACATCAACTCAACTTAAAAACTAAAGAGAAAACTTGATTTCTGTCTAGAATTCATTTCTGTAATGTACGAATGGAATCCAGGTTTTTTTTTCTGGGTTTCTACAAATATTTTCATTGACGAATTCTAAGTTTTTCTTCATCTTGAAGTTTTAATTGTGATATTCTTGTTCTAACTTGTCTTCGTTTAAATCAAACCTTCGCAGCGCAAGAAACAGATGCTGGGCAAGTTTCGTATTTCAGTAGCTAGAGTTGCCAAGATCACGGGCAGTTGGTTTAAAGACACTGACATTGATAAAGATGTTTTTTCGTCTTGTCACGAGCGTGGGACAAAGAAAAAATTCTGAGTCCCCGTGAAGAGTCGAACCTCAGACCTTCTGATTCCGCGCTCCGTTGCTCTAACGCTGGCATTGTATACAGTTACATCAGAGGTTACCGAGTTAAATAACAGAAAAATCTTGAAAAAAAGCCGTGTATTTCCAGCCAGAGGACGATCATTAAACGAGAATAGTCGAAAGAGAAGTTAAAAAATTACAGGTTTAAACACGAATTTAAAGTTACTTTTCTTCTAATTTTTTTACGCTTCTCCGAGGAGGTTGAAACATTAGCGATATCAGGGGAAGATATAATAGAGAAGCCCAAACTATTCTGGCGTATTGTTTCAGCGACTCACTGGTCTCACGTATACCCGTCAATCGACTCGTCGTTTCTTTCAATATTTTGGTTCATTTTCCCACACTGAAGTTATCAGTCACGCTCGATAGAGTATCATTTCAACCGATACCGACATCATACACTACATCTAAAGGAGAAAGCACTCCTTTTCTTGAAAATACCGCCGACTAGCATGCGTGTTAATTGTTTTGCATGTTGTGAGAGCATCGTTCCTCGGTTCCACACCCGGTCAACTTCCCCCCGCACTGGTCTTAAGTCCCCTAGAATAACCTCTTCGACAGCCAGTGCTGAAAAAGTGAAGAGCTGGAAAATAAATCAGGTAGTACTCTGCTTTTAGGCATGGCTAAATCTATGTATAAATTATTAAACGTTGACGATAACAGTAAGCAGTGTTACAAGCGGTGTGCATGTGTCGTTGAACTATCGGTCAAAGCCAAATGTCTACAAAATAGAGCTGCGCTGAAAATCCATACCGACTGAGCTGAGTGTACGGACGATGCCTTTTGATTACATTCATCAAAACTTTCTGAATATTTGTTTATCTTGAATCAATTCGAAAAAAACCATAATGATGTTGAGGTCACAAATTGTATGTGATGATTTGTCAGCGAATCGTTTCGCGGACATTTACTCTAAATAATTTTTTACCACAAGGCCCTGAGTGTTTTTTTAATTTAATGCAAAGGACTCGTGATGAATTAAAACAAAGTAATCGAAAGCATCATTCAAACGAGCTTCAGGACATGGCAACCACGACAATGAATATTGCATGACAATAAAGGTATTCCTCTGCGAAGATCGATTTCATATGAATTTCCCTCCTGTAAATAATTTTTTACCACAAGGCCCTGAGTGTTTTTTTAATTTAATGCAAAGGACTCGTGATGAATTAAAACAAAGTAATCGAAAGCATCATTCAAACAAGCTTCAGGACATGGCAACCACGACAATGAATATTGCTTGACAACAAAGGTATTCCTCTGCGAAGATCGATTTCATATGAATTTCCCTCCTGTCAACTGAATCTGGATGGATATGTATTGTAACGTCTAATATAATGTCAAATGCCAAATATCCTGATGATCAGATGTTAAAACCAAGTGTTCACTGCAACTAAACGGTATGGTGATGATTGTGCTGTGTGCATGATCTTGATTAAAGAAACATATTTGAGATCAAAGAACCAGGTCCAATTAAGTAAAACCACATTTTCTCGTTATTGAAAGGGTAATTTCGAAGTAAACGTAATTTATATCATCTGAAATCCCAGCTTTAAGATTTAGTCATATGAGAACAAGAAATTTCAAAACGGACGGATGCAATAGCAGCTTTAGATTCAATACTATGATGAGCAGTGCCAAACACTAAACAACACTTCGACCAAAGTCAATGGTTAGGAGAGACATACCTGACAGTTTTCTCTTGCCGTAGAAGCGTTATTCCGTCCAGAGGTAGGAAAGTTAATCTGACTTACTGTCGAGCTGACTAAAATTGAATCGACTTCCTGGCTTCTAATCGTTCAAAGCAACCATTTTTCTTCCCTAAAATGACCCCAAATGAATCTTATGCTTTTAACATAACATCCGGTGCGTTTAGCTGTACAGCAAAATGACCAACTACGTGTTAAAAAATCTTAAAATCTATCAAGTGATGTCGACGCAAAACACTTCCGGGATATCCAACTAAACTTCTGCTGCATACCCCAACCACAATGCATGCTAGGAAATATTTATAGTCTAAGCCAATCAGATGATGATACCTCACATAGTTATAATGGTCTAACTATCAACTTATGAAGAAAACAACTAAGTGTATCACGTCTAATGTAACAAGCATTCGGCAAGAACGCGACGAACTCTCACGCGATAGGGCTGATAAACTGGATCACTAACGCCTAATAAATCGAGTGCCTTTACGCAAGCCATGTTGTTGTTGGTAACAACAGTCCGTTGGCTGGTTCATACGAGCTAGTTGACCTGGCTCCAGTTGTTCGAAAGTTGGATAACGCTACACACTGGATAAAATTCTATACGGTGGATAACGCTATACGTTTTGCTATCACTTATCCATTGGATAGCAATTTATCCTTTGGATAGCGCTATCCAACCTTTATACAACTGGGCCCTGGTCTAGCCGAGTACATGATTGAATCAAGCATTTTTGAGGGACTAGCGACAAACTGCTTTACGTACAATAACATCTTACTCTGGCTAACAACATAGATTAAGGTCAACGCAGGAGCAATTCTGATCACTGTCCTGTTTCCTTATAAATACATTTGGAGGGAAAGAAAGAACTGCTAGTACGTACTTTATGGCAATTATCACTGTTTGATCGATCTGAGTTATTTAATTGCGTGAACCATGGCAGTCAAACGTGTTCATAGTAGCTCCGTCGCAATCTTTATTTTACTTCTATATTCCGCCTTCTAAAGTTATTCAGACGACACCAAAAGTTCTTTAAGTGGATTTAAAAGCTTCATGTGGAAAAGAAAATCGAGTGGCCTCAACTTTATTAAAGATTTTCATGGCTGTTTAAAACTTGGTCTCAATAGCTACACAAATCTACTCTAGCCTTTCACGCTTTATTTAGGAAGGATGCTAATGAGAGCTTCATTGTCATTGGTCTCAATAGCTACACAAATCTACTCTTTCAGGCTTCATTTGGGAAGGATGCTAATGAGAGCTTCATTGTCACGCCTGCTTGGATCCATTCATTCGCTTTAGGATTTGTTTGCGTCAATTAGAAAGCCTTTGGTATCTGTCAACTTTGTCACCAAATTAAATCACAGAGGACAAACTCTCGTATCCTATACTACCCAAATTGTTCCGCTACATTTCAACTATTATTACGTGCTGGTGATATTGCCTTGAATCCTGGGCCTGTTTCAGTGGAGAATCCTGCTCAAGAAACACGCAAAAAGTCAAGTAAACAGTCATCAAGAACTCCGGCTCCAGTCTGCCTGCAGTGTCTGAGAGGTGTCCGGTGTAACGAGAAACGCTTCTTTTGTGTCGTGTGCAAAGATCTAACTCACGCCCGGTGTACTGGAATCACTAACACTAATTACATCAAAACCACACAGCCTGAAGAGTGGACATGTCCAAAATGTCTCAGTATTGCCTTTCTACGGCCAGAATACCTTGCACGCCTCTGTGTCACCCCGCGACGAAGTTGACACAACCCTTGCTGAAGACCTGCATTTGGAAGCCTTGAAGCAAAATAGCAAACAGCTAACCGTCGTGCATATTAACACCCAAAGCATGATTTCCACCTTTGATAACTTGTTGTTAGCCGTCGATCGTTACAAGTTTGATGTCATTATTATGAGCGAAACTTGGTTGAAAGAGAACCACTTGTTACTTCAATACGTTACAATTCCTGGTTACACCCATGCTTTTAATAAAAGAGATAAAAAGGGGGGCGGCGGTGTAGGAGTGTATATTAAGGATTCCATCATGTTTAAAAGACGATCAGACATTGAAAAGAGATATCCCACCTTAGAACATTTGTGGCGGGAAATCCCAGGTTGCAATAAGTATAGCAGGCTCCTCCTGGGAACCATCTACCGATCAGAATCCATAGTACCTTACAGCGATTGGATAGTAACATTTGAATCCCTGCTGAGTGACTTAGCAATTCATTGGGACGGCGCACTGGTCCTGACTGGCGATTTAAATGTCGACCTTCAGCGACCTGATATCCCTGCAACTAAGAAGTATAGTGGTATTCTTAAATCCACGAGTCTGCAGCAGTTAGTATCGAAGCCAACACGTACTACTCAACATTCATCAACCCTCATTGACCATATCATCACGAAACATACCTAACCAGGTAACTCACACTGATGTCATTTCATCTCTTATGATCAGTGATCATGACGCACCTTACGTTTGTATCAACGTTCGCATCACTAGATTTGTCCCAAGGTATTAATTTATCCGGAACGAAAAGAACTTTAACGCTGATGCGTTTATTGAGGACTTTGAACAACTGCCCCTAAGTATCATGTATTCAACCGACGATCCTGACATGCAAGTTGATCTTTTAAGCTCCCTTATCTGCGAATGCATCGACCGCCATGCGCCCTTAAAACGCACTAAAGTCACACGACCTCTTGCGCCTTAGATGAAGGACTTGGATATACAACAAGTTCAAAAAGACTGTCTATCTACTCTATCTCTTCAGACTTCCGCCCGGGTAAGTAAAGATGAAGTCACTTGAACCCGTTATCGAGATATGAGAAATGAACTAAAGTCTAAGATCAAGAAAACTAAGCGCGAATTCTATCAAAAGGCACTGTCTTCTTCCAAACCTAGAGAGATATGGCAAGTTATACACAGAATTCTTCACCCAAGCTTCCAATGTGTCCAACTTGCCGCGGCAAGTTTTGTTTACAGTCACTATGCGGATATGTCGGACGTTTTGAAACTTGGATGGCTCCTCACTAGTTATCGTCGAGAATATCACATAACAAGGACGATATGCAAGGTTTCATACCAAAACTGCTGGCCAACTGCTGGCCAACCTGCCGAACCAGCAAAGGCTCTAAGATCTTCTTGTGAGCGTCGCCTTGAACCATCGACTGTTCCTGGAACACTACAAAATTCTGCCGCGATGCTATTTAACAGTCTACCCCAAGACATTAAAAATTGTACAGAACTCAAAGTATTCGACAGTAAATACAGAAATCATTTTATGACATTGGCAACAAGTAGTTCCTAGTCCTACTTATATATCCTGTACAAACTTTGTCTAATGCCAGTATTACTTTCATATGCGCATATCTATATTATCCATAAATTTTACACAATCAATATTATACAATTTTACATATACTATGCATACCTTATGTATATTATTTATATATTATTTATGTAATTATACATCTTGTTGTTATTTATTTATCCATATATTTACTTCAACCATTATATTATTTTGGTATCCAGTCACCTCGCCACCAAACAGACTCGCCACCAGCGAACTCGCCACCAAGGAACGATCTCGCCACCAACGTACTCGCCACCAAGCGAAGTCTTCTCGCCACCAACCACCAATAAAGAGATTAGTCGAGGACAGTAGGATGTTCGGCTGATAAGTCTGTACTCAAACTTTATAAACGTATGTTGTCGAAAGCACGTTCGAAACCGATAAGTTTGTTCGCTTGTCTGTACTCAAACTTTATAAACGTATGTTGTCGAAAGCACGTTCGAAACCGATTAGTTTAGTTTTAATACAACTGCTATCGAGTTTCATTTCATCACTTATTTCTTCCCATGAAGTTTCATTTTCTCTCAAGTAAGTTTTTATTCCTCGCATCGAGTTTTGCAATTTCTCCTCGCTTACGTGCAAAAGACAAACACGATACGTTTCGATGTCAATGAGTTAGGAACGGAACACATCTAACACGTCGCTGAAGGTCATAATTTAAATACAGACAAGCGCACAAACGTATCGGCCGATTTGAATTGTGCTCGTTCGAACATCCTACTCTCCTCGACTACTTTATTCTAGTTTATCTCTTTATTGATGGTTGGTGGCGAGAAGACTTCGCTTGGTGGCGAGTACGTTGGTGGCGAGATCGTTCCTTGGTGGCGAGTTCGCTGGTGGCGAGTCTGCTTGGTGGCGAGGTGACCGGTAACCATTATTTTATTATATCCATAATGCATATTTTATCAATTGTATAATTTTTTTTAGTGAATTAGTATATAAGAGCCACCATGTGGAGTACTAATAAACCACTATTATTACTATTATTATCAAATGTGATCAGCTGGCACACTTGCGTCTGTCATTCAAAGCTATCAAGGCAATCATAGATTTTGCAATATCTCATTTTCAAATGAGATGTACCCCTTTATGTAGGGTTGTCCAATACACACAAACAGATTCCATCGGAAAATATAGGTTTTCTATCGAAAAAAAAAAACCAGAAATCTATTGGTTAAAATAGAAATATACTACCGGAAGTGGTAATGATCAAATATATCAGAGGTCAATGAATTTATGATGTGATTTCTTTCATCGGTATTCGATGGATTCCAATCGACATGAATAGAAACCAGTCTTTTCCATCGGAATAATCGATTTTCCGATGGTAAGAGACTTAAGAAAAAATATTTAGTGTTTAGTTGTAGTAATATGCATGCATAACTTAGCAACAAAGCTCTAAAGGTAGATCGCAGATGCACATAAAAATGTTGTAGCGTTGCTATCTGCGACCAGTTTGTTAATTGTGTGACGCAGAATACGAAGAGACTTGTAAGAAATTTCATCAACAGTAATTACGAACACAGTTTTATTCCTAGATATGTTTGCAGCGAAATCTATTCAGATCCCTACTCGGTCTGTTAAGAAGCGATATTTTTTTAAAAAAATCACAATTGAAACGATCTGAGTACCAGTGAAAGTAAACGAGATCTCTGCATAGTTCAACCGAAGGACATTAAGGACAGCAATAAGCTATTTCGAAAAAAATTATTAATAAGTTTCAAGATTTATATTGAGTGATAGATAGACGTATTGCTTATACAAGCATGTGGTTCTTGGAATGAAGGTACCTCAAAACCAGACTTTTTTCTGCGTTCAGTCCATTACTCATTGGTCTTGATATCATCGCTGGGGAATCTTTTAGAAGAGGTGATTCAAAGAACCGGTCAAAAGTTGCAATTGCGTTTAAAAACTTTCAGAATTATCTAAACTTGGTAGATTATTTGTCTTCCTACCGTTCTTTCCATGGAACCACGTAATTTCTATGGAACCTCCTTATATCAATAATTTTTATTTATGTCGTATACTTGTCACTCACTGTATGGTGGTTGGTCTCAGGTGGAGGACCACTGAATACTCGTAGGATTTGATGTAAGGACGAAAATTACATCTGTACAAAATGCTGCCTTGCCTTTTTGTTCGTCTAATAAAATATGCTTGTTAAACGACTTTTTTCCATCTTTGATTATTTTATTTTGGCCTTTTTGGTTTTAACATTTGGTTTTTCTTTTTAATTGTAAACAGCTGTAATTAGAGATTTCGTCCGCTACCGTGCTCGATTCTCTTCAGTTTTGGATGTTGTACTAGCGGGTTGGTTAATTTATCTTTCTGGATTTTTGGAAAAATACTTCTTACCGGTTTAAAGCAATTCAAACCAAAATTGGCCGCGTAAAACTTGCGAACAATAGCTTTGCTTTACGAAAACAATCATCGCCTTTATCGTCCACCCACTAACTGCATAATCTGACTATTAGGCGTCGGTTAGATTATCGCGTATCTTTGAAGTCGTTATTACTGTCTTTCCTAAGTGGCCATCGAGGGTCCTTTATGGATCGTTTAATTGAGCTCATTGTCATCACACTTTATCTGCTATTCTCGTCACGAATTGCGTGCAAGGAAACCTCCGGTAGTCCTATAGTGAAGTGTGTGGTCCAGGCTATGGGCGGCCGTCACCGCCAAAAATACAAGGATGTCAAATAGATCAGCAAATACAAAGATGGTGTAAGGATCAACTGCAGGATAGCATAGCTAATAAAGGAATGGCATGGCCAAATTATAGATAGTCTAGTTTTCCTTCGTGAAACAGAACACCCGAATTACGAATAGCTTAGCACTCATTTGCAATACAGCACTCAAACGGTGTAGCGTTGCATTAAACGGCTCAGGGTAACGTCGAGTAGCACAGCGTACGCACAAACGGTGTAGCGTTGCGTCAAATGGCTCAGCGTAATGTAGAATGGTACAGCGTACACACATATGGTGTAGCGCTGCGGGAAATGGCTCAGCTTAATGTCGAATGGTACAGCGTACATAAAAACAGTGTAGCGTTGTGTGAAATGGCTCAGCGTAATGTCGAATGGCACAGCGTACATACAAACAGTGTAGCGCTGCGTGAAATGGCTCAGCGTAATGTAGAATGGTACAGCGTAAATACAAACAGCGTAGCGTGCGTGAAGTGGCTTAGCATAATGTCGAATGGTACAGCGTACACACAAATGGTGTAGCGTTGCGTGATATGGCTCAGCGTAATGTAGAATGGTATAGCGTAGACACAAATAGTGCATCGTTAGGTCTAATAGCTTTGCAAAACATCAGACGCTCTATCTGAACATTAAATTGCTTAGTATTACTTGAAATATTTCGATATTGTGGTATATTGGTTTGGTTATAATAATAATAAAAATAATTATAATAATAATAATCACAAAAATTAATAGTTGAGGTACAGAAATGTAAAAATAAATAAAAAATATAAATAAATACGTCTACCAAAACAAACGACGAAACAGCAAGATGTCCTGTCAATTGTTTGAATTATGCAATAGTTTTTATTCAGCAAGTTGCGACTGTAACAGATCGAACGGTTAAATTCGACCTAGAGTTGGACAATTACGTACAACTACGTGCATTATGGTGTCCGCACTAGCTTTCCTTAATACGTGATGACTACGGAATGGGAAAGAGCACAGGGAAGATAAGTATGTATGCGCGCAAAAGCAACTCAGAAAAAAAATTTACTCTGGCAAAAACTATTTTGGAACGCGAAAAAAACCCTTTAAATGTTTCCGGTCCAGACATGTAATCTAGTTTGATCGACAAAATAAAAATGGAACTTAATTTTCCTATCACTGCACAAACAAAGCAATATAATGTACACTTCTTTAAAATAATTAATATAAACAGCCTTCTCTTAGCTTACTCTTATCGTCCGGCACACCAATGAAAGCATTCCGATATCACTTTGATCGAAAAATGTCAAAACAGATCAAGGATATCAGTTTTCTTACCATGGCTTCCAAGGCACACACAATATTCAACTTCTCACGTACTCCTCCAATGTTCAAAGAGCCGTTGAAGTTGGACTCTCATTGAAAAGTAAGCGTGGGTCAGAGAAAGAAAAGAGAGCTCGACAATTGACATTTAATGCACGTCATAACACTACGCCACAACATCGAAATATTTCAAGTAATACTAAGCAATTTAATGTTCAGATAGAGCGTCTGATGTTTTGCAAAGCTATTCGACCTAACGCTACACTATTTGGTACGCTATTTGGTACGTGGTACGCTGTGCCATTCTACATTACGCTGAGCCATTTCACGCAACGCTACACTGTTTGTATGTACGCTGTGCCATTCGACATTACGCTGAGCCATTTCACACAACGCTACACTGTTTTTATGTACGCTGTACCATTCGACATTACGCTGAGCCATTTCCCGCAGCGCTACACCATATGTGTGTACGCTGTACCATTCTACATTACGCTGAGCCATTTGACGCAACGCTACACCGTTTGTGCGTACGCTGTGCTATTCGACGTTACCCTGAGCCGTTTAACTCAACGCTACACCGTTTGAGTGCTGTATTTCAAATGAGTGCTAAGCTATTCGTAATTGAGCTAGTCCATTTCACAATCTCATGTTCCAACTCAACATGGGCTACTAGATCGTTTCTCATTTGGCTAAACTATTCATGTTTAGGGTGTTCTGTTTCACGAAGGAAAACTAGACTATCTATAATTTGGCCATGCCATTCCTTCATTAGCTATGCTATCCTGCAGCTGATCCTTACACCATCTTTGTATTTGCTGATCTATTTGACATCCTTGTACTTTTGGTGGTGACGGCCGCCCATACCAGGCTGCACTCAGGACTACACAAGCCATGTGATGCCACACAGCAGCCCGCCAGCCACTGCACACATGCTTGCTTGCACATGCTTGCTTGCACGATTGGCACGAGATTGATTCCAGTTTTCTGGGGGAAACTGGTGACTGACGACTCTTCCGGTTAGGTTGTTTTAAGTTCTTTCGAAGGATAATTCTCGATTAATCGTTCGACGATCATGTTAAAATCAAGAGCTGCGACTTGGATACATACTCTTTCCTTACTGAACCTGAAAGTAGTTTTGTGTGAAGTTTTTAAAACTTTTTTTAAATTAACTTGGTTTGTCAATTTTACAACAGGTGTATAGTCAATGCTACAAGACATACACATAGTCACTCAAGACCTCATGTTCCATTGTGACGTATGGGTATATTCTATCTCAGGAAATGGAGACTTAGTTTTCCATAAATATTGGTTTAAAACACTCCATAATTTCTCAAGCTTATCCCACGCAGATACGTTTTCATTGTTACATTGTTTACACGTTTGGCGAGTCTTGGCTTGAGAAAAGTATGAACACCGAGTGTACTAGGAATTTATGGGGTGACGCCCTTTGATTGTATCTTAACAGTGATAGACGCATAGTTTATTTCGCCATTAAAAACATTTTACTTTGATATTACCTTAAAAAAATACGGAAGTTGTCATGTTGCCCTGCGTGACTCGCTGTTGATGATGTTCGCTGATAAAGTCTATTGGACTGCGCAACTACGTGCCAAAGACCATACCATGAACGTAGGATAGTTAGAATTCAACAAATATACATGTACGAAATGAGGTCTAATTATTTTCTTATTGTCAAATAAAGAAAGGGTAATGTCATGAATTAGCTAGGTATAGACTATATGATGAGCTTAACTTTACACGCATTTTGATACAGCCGCATAGTATGTTTCGCCATCAACAACATTTTACTTCGTCATGTTGCCCTGCGTCTGTTCAGTAACAAATTACGGAAGAATGAGGTAAGACCATCTGTGAATCCATTTGTCGGTTAGAGACCTGATGCACTGGTAACGAATCGCTTTAGTAGTGAATATATTACACTTTTTCGCGACAGTACAAGTCATGAAATATACAAATACACAGTCGATCAAATAATTGATTGATGAAGTATTAATTATGCTACATTTACTTTCTCCCACGTGTTATCCTATTGAGAAATAGAGTATAATATATGGGCGCGCGTAGATATGGAATTTCTCTTCGAGTGCGAGTAGCCCTTTACTGAGAAGAAAAGTCGACTTCATTAATGAATGAAAGTAAATGAATCGGCAATCCCCGAATAACAATCGTAGAGTGCGTTGGCGCTAACTATTAAGATGGAAAAATGAGTTGAATCATGATTACAAAAAAAACAATGGTCGTTTACAAAATTCTCATTTATTGACTTTGTCCTTACCCACAGAAGAAGTCTTTCAGGTGAACCGCCAAAATCGGCCAGTGGCAATTCTTCCAGTTGTCGATGCTAACACCAAAGCCACCGAATACGTAACTTTCGGTTTTTCTTTCAGTAGAGTTGTTTTCTTCTCCTTCTAGGAAAGTTTGAACCTCACTGTCTGTCGGCAATACGGATTTTTTAGTGTTTTAGCCGCCATAATTCGAGGAAGCTCCGACAAACAACTTGTACTGAGAATCGTGAAGGGTTTGCCGTTCATTCATCAACCTGACCGAGTGGCGACAAGGGTGAGTGACATGTAAGCAGCTGATTGGCTATATCAACACATGAAAAAATACGATATTTTTTCACGTGTGTTGTTACGGTTTTTCTTAGGGCCGGAAATCCTTGTATAACACCGCAGTTTATGTGATAAAAAAAACTTATCTCATGGAAGAACAGCTTACAGCTGTTGATGATACCGTGATTTGTTGCATCGTATTGCCTACAACAAGCTGATTAAATTTTCAAGTATCAACGTTGCTGTGGCGCAGTTCACTGCAAATAAGACTCTGAACTTGTTTAACAAATTGAAGAAACTCAGGTAACTTCGCAACGATGTCTTCAGGTTTCCAATTTTCATTCTTTAATTGTTCGTCCCAGTCTTTGCAGTGTAGATGCAGATCGATCTGCCGAAAAAACGTTTTTATCAGTAAATAGGTTTACATGCTGAAAATAAATTTTGTCAACAAAACATTGAAAATTGAAACTTTCCTTGATTAGCCAAAATGGACACTGCAATTACAGGTAACTCGTGAAGGAGATTATTTATTCATTACAAGTGAATAAAATTGTGTGTCTGATTCAATATGCGAGGATGCTAGTCACAATAATGATGACCATCATAATTTTTGTACCGTTTATCTTTCCTCTTTTTCCTCTATATCGTAGGATAACGACATCTCCTTTGAAAGGATAACGAAAAACCCAGCTTGTGGTTCGAATACAGTTCGATGAGAACATCGTCTGTGATGTAGAAATTTTCCTTTGACGAAGTTTCATCGGCGGGGAGATTTGATCCATTTACTTCATCGTCTTCCGTTAACGCAAAAGTTAGCTTAGACAGATATGACAACAGAACTTGTCTTTCATTTTCGTCAAGATCAGCATAATCGGCAGACCCGGCATCATCTAAAATCTACGGAATCATCTACGTTTTATATGATTGCAATGTAATTGTTTTATATGATTGTAATGTCTTTGACCAAGTTAAACAAACAAGGCTAAGAGCATGCATCATCTACTGAAAAGCAATGTTTTATCTAAATCTGAGGTGATCTGCATTTTTTAATGGCATTTTAAGTTTCATACGTTGGTGCATTAATTTCGATCAGAAGTATGAAAAACATTTATGATTCTTGACATTCATCCAGTACTTCCTTTATTTTATCTATTTACTTATTGGTAGATTTATCGCCAAAATAGCCAACTAGCAAACTTGACACCTTGAGAGTTCAAAGTTACACGGACCGGCAAACTGAAATTTAGTACAGGATGTGTTCCTGATGACGCTTATACAGCGTGAAATGACGAAGTACTCCCAACGGGGTCTTATGTTTCATGGCAGACATAGCTTTTTAAAACGTATTTTACGTTTTATTCCCTAAATTTTGGCAGCTTAAATTGGTATTGACTACTAAAAAAAGAGTGAATGTCAGCCTGTAGAAATCTACGATGGAGGGGCCAGCCATCCTCGACACCGCGAGTGTGTTTTTTCATCTTCGAAGTAAATTTCTTCTGTTTTTGACGTCGCTAAAGGGGACTGCCTTATCTTTAACTGCTATGTCAGAGTCCCTGTTCAGCACCCATAGCACCCATATCCGTTGTACATAACAAAAATCGTGTTACGACTTTTTAAGGAAGCAATAGAAAGTGATGCCGTTCGACGAAGGTGACACAAAAACTAAGAAACTAGCGGCCCATTAACTTCAGATGAAATATTTTTTTTTAATCAGTAGATACAAGGTTATCATTCGATTCATCTTAAATTCCATAATTCATGCTTTCACCATCTCAACTAGAGTGTAATTCCACAATCATGCCACCAAACAAATGTAGGTGCTTACATTCAAGGGTTTTAAATAGCTTCCTAAATTATAAAACCGAACTGAACTGAACTATATATAGGCTACTAAAAAGTGGATTACTTTTCCGTGAACTATGAATTTAGCCCAACGTACGTAATTTTGAATGATGCAAAATCATCTAGTAGGTCCAGAATCTTAAGAATTGGGGTATAAAATCAAGTTTTGAGCCGGTTAAATTTTCCCCCTACTCCCCTTCTACCTACCTTGCCCCTCAATTCGTATCCACTGGATACAACGAAGGACAAGTCATATCTTGCATGATATTCTCTGGGTATTTCTGACCGAAGTTTTTCTCAAAGACTTGCTGATCAACATTAAAACCTTCTTTAAATGCGACTTTCCAGTAATCCTTCCTGAAGTTGAAATTTTTTCGTTGCTTCTTGAATACCCCATTGTTCTTGACCTGAAACCTCCGCTGTAATCAATCAAGTGTTTCATATTATTCCTACAGAAACTGCAGGTTTAGCCGCAGCCTATTTCAGATCTTTATGATTAGAACGCCATCAGTGAGTCTAAAGTACATTTTGATTATTATTCTTTATCCATCATTTGGATAAGGGTTCAGCAAAGCTAGGAGATAGGTGCAATAGCCGATTTGACTTTATGACAATTTATTAATCTTTATTGTTTATTTATTCATGTTGAATGAATACTTTCAAACAGAAAAGTCAATACTCATAAAAAGAGAGAACTGTAATAGTCTTTTGTGACATATTATAATCGATAAGTTTACCTTCATCAGGTCCGCGGATCACTACTTTTCCAAAATGACACCACATGTCGGCCTTCGACCCCTTTCCCTTTTAATTCTTCGCAGAGATTGCAAAGAATTTTCTTTAAGTCTCAATTCGTATGCCGTGCTATTACTGCAGCTTGATTCCTTGAGCAGAGAAAACAGAGGAAAACTTTTTAATGATTTTACCTAATGATTAACAACTATTCACCACATGGGAGGTGCATGTCTAGTGGGGGATATTTACTTCACCGCTTCGAGGCTAAATATCCTCTACTAACCAGCGACATTGAGGCTAATAGTTGTTTTAGTGTATACTAAATGAGTGAGATAAAATAAAACAAAAGGAGGATTATAACTCAACTATTCAGCAACGATCTCGACATTTCCGGGCGCAAATTCCGCTTAAGTTGCTCTGCAGTGAATAGCAAAAGATATCCAGAATTTGAGTTGCGAATCAAAGCGCGTCTTTAGCGCTATCCACTCACATTGGTATATACTCATAGTCTTCAGTGGCCCTGCCCTCCCAACAACCCGTAACGTGTTTGCACCATTATAACTTATTGCAGATATAACTTATGGTGAATAAGTGCTCTGTTCTTTCAGAGCTAAGCTACTAATTTACCACCTTGGAAAAGTGACAACTGATAGAGATTGATAGTTATGTTAAAGCATGCAAAAAGAAATACCTGAAAATATCATAACCGAGGAAAAGAACTAAACAACTATAGCAAAAACATAACAAAGACATCAACACAATAAAAATTAAATAACAAAAAGCACTGAGAAGAAAAACAAAATCAAAAACAAAACCTAAACTTAAAAATCTTGTCTTTTCCATTGAATTGTCGTTGTCAGAATGAACAAACCTGCAGAGTTTCATATTCTTTAGTCGGTAGCAGTCGATAATGTTTATATTTTCCCAGAAGACCCAACCAACTATTCAGAGACTTCAGCATTAACTCAGAGTTTTCCAAAAGATTCCAGCCATCCACGAAGCAACAAACCTTATTACAAGGCTTTTCAGCTCCCCTTAGTCTTGCCCCTGCCTTCAGATAAGATAATTAGAGTTAATTAGAGATAGGGTTAAAAAAAAAATCTATATTGAGTGAGAGAGAAGGTAGGTTTTGAGCTCGGTAAAGAAATAGAGAAAGATGTTTTTTCGCCTTTTCACGAGTGTGAAACAAAGGGAAAAAGAGTCCCCGCGAGGAATCGAACCTCAGACCTTTGGTGCCCTACCACTGAGCCACAGAAACTCTGTAGCGAGTGAGGCCCATCAGGAGGTTCATACATGACACGCGTCCTGCGTATCTACATAACCGTCTCTCTTATTCCGTTTACAAACGTGACGCAAGTGACATCGCTGATCCTAAAAGTACGCAGGCAGCATGTCTTACTTGAACTTCGTAATGGGCCTCGCTCACTATGGAGTCTCTCAGTGGTAGAGCATCGGAGCGCGGAGTCCGAAGATATGAAGTTCGATTCCTCATAGGGACTTTCTTTGTCTCACGTTCGTGACAAGACAAAAAACATCATTCTCTAAATTTATATTTTAATTTTGGATTTCCATTACAACCAGCAGCGGGATATTGTAACAGTACAAGGTCTACAAGTTTAGCACTTTTCCCAGAATCAATATATTATAACGATTACGGTTAAGGATTGTATTGACCAATAAATCAGTTTCACCAATTATGAAAAATGAAAGCGTCAGTACTGGAAAATGAAGCTTAATTCTGCGGAAAATTGCCTGAGAGGCTTTTCATTCATTTTCTACACAGACAATGTTTACCGATGAATCGGTCCTCTCAGTGGCCTGTATTGCAGATAAACATCTAGGACCTGTTATAGGCAATTTCTGTTGTAAATATAGGCTTCTAGAAATCTCCAGACTGCCTAGTCATGCTGACATGCTTACCATAGAACTTTCTAAAACATTTCATCAAGTCACGCAGTTATTACGTAAAACTACTGAAATAATTCTTTTGAAAGCTTCTGGAATGTTCCAGAAGACTTTTTAAAAGTATATAAGGACTCAGTCATGTATTACTTGTAGTTGGCGTTTTTGGGAGCGACTGTTTAGAAAGCTATACCGTGAGAGAGAGCTAAAGTGGAAGATTGCTAATTTCAAGAAACGTTGGAGGAAACCGTGAGTTCGGCTCGGTGATGAGCTAAGATATAGACTGTAGTAGGCTTAAGTAAGTTTATTGAACATAAATACTGTACGCTCCTTTTTGATAATATCACTCGTTGTTTGATAAAGTAGATGAGTTTGTAGGATTGTAGTGTTCTACTGTCGGTAAGATTATCCCGTAACAGACCACTCGAAGAACCAATTGGATTGCACATTTTCATGCTAATGAACAGATAGATGCCCTAGACTTGCTCACGTAAATTCATTTCCTAACAAAGACAAGACAAAAATATTTCTTTCAATGGAATTTTATCCACGAAATGGTATAATATTTGTTTATGAGTAGGCAACGAGTAAAAATAATATACCAAACAATTGTTCCAGAAAACTTTTATGTTAAGTTGTGAGTTCGAATTGATCATGTCGACTGAACTGTAGACCTCATTATAAGGTGATACTCACCACTTTACTCCAAATACGTAATTTTGTCATATCTCTCTGAGACTTGGTACCACTCGTTATATACACTTCCTCTCCTTCCCCTCGGAATTTTACCAACTAATTTTAAATCAAAAGATGTCCTGATACAATTGCAGGCCCTCCTCAAAGTTGCTTCCATGTATAGAACATATACGGAATCGTTCCAGGTTTTAAACTACTTAGCACCTTTTCTGAGATTAATCTCTTTGCAAGTGTCATTTGTTCCCTGTTACCGGTGATAGTAAATCCTTCCTCATCTTTGCTCCTCGAAGCGATATTTGCCGAAGAACTCTTTCCGATCTCATTTATCACTATAGTCCTCCCCTTTCAATACATGACTTTTGAGTTCCTTGGGAACGTGCAGATATTCGCTCCTCATTTTACTTTCAGGATTTGTCACTACAATCTGGAAGTAACTTCTGAAAACCCTGAAAAATATTTTTGCTTCATAAGCAGTTTTCCTATCAGAAGACGATGTTGAGGGAAACAATGATCTTTATCTTAGTTGACAAATGAACCAAGCCGTCTTCTTGTTTTTCCATTGAAATCTATTTTTGGTTGCGTTTAGTTATAACTTTGCATGTGAATAGGATGCAAGATTAGAACTGCAAATTTTCCCATATCAAATATGGCGCGTATATTGCGGATGATGTGATCGTAGAATACACTATGGAAAACCTAAATACATACTATGACAACACAATATGAGTAAAGAGGGTAAAGTAATACCTTGAAGTCTCTCAAGAAACTGTGGTGTAGTGTCAGTGGAGGTATTACAATACTTTAATATGGGATAAGAGGTAACGCTGATGAAGGACTAACACTCGAAATGTTATCTTTACGGTGGCCAATTCACATTTATCTACTAAGTTGATAGAACCTGATATCTTAAACCAACTTATATTACTGGCTTAGGATTTTAAGGGAGACGGTGTGACGAAAATTTCCTGAGAGAAACTTCAGTAAGCTTTATCTTGAGTTCAAAAAGAAGTATGCAGACGATGTGAAAGGAGTAGGAATCAAATTCGAGCTCGGGTCCTTTGGCGGTGAACAAAACATCAAACTTGACCGCCATGCCACTTAATAGATAGAGAATAATACATACTCGCGCATAGATATGGAATTTCTCTTGAGTTTTTAACTCTATAGCTCACGAGTGAGCTGAACAAGAGAAGAGAAATTTCATATCTACGAGCAACCATGTATTTTTTTTTGCCATATGAACACGATAGTCCTTCACTGACAAGAAAAGTCGACTTTATTAATAATTGAAAATAAAAGGATCGACAATCCCCAAATAAAATTCGTAAAGTGCGTTGGCGCACTCAAGATGAAAGCATGTGTTGAATCACAACAAAACAAGCCTTTTTTTGCTGGCCGTAATTCTCAATATGCAAAATCGACAGTTATTGAATTGATCCCTACCGACAGAAGAAATCTTCCAGGTACACGGCCAAAATCGGCTTGTGGTAAATCTTCCAACCATCGATTTTCGTTCTCAGCCGCGAGAAATGCCACTACCAAAGCCACTGAATTCGTAGCTTTCGGTTTTTCTTTTCGTATTTTGGTTTCTTCACCTTCTAGGAAAGTGTGAACGTCACTGTCTGTTAGCGACACGGATTTTTGAGTGTTTAGCAGCCATAATCCGAAAAAATTCCGACAAGCGACCTTGGACTGAGAATGGTGAAGGCTTTGCCGTTCATTCATCAACCAAACGAAGCGGCTCGAAAGGGGGGGGACGTGTCAGCAGCTGATTGGCGATATCAAATACAGGTGAAAAAATATCGTATTTTTTCACGCGTGTTGTTACAGCTTCTCTCAGGGCTGGAAATCCTTGTATAACACCGTAGTTTATATGATAAATAAATTCATTACATGTTCCCTCGAAATCTTATTTCCTGAAATTATCTAGAAAGCACTTACGAACTTTGATTTTTTTAATAATTGGTTTTAATAATAATTTTTTCGGGAGGGGGGCATCCACTAGATTAACCTTTTCTATGTAGATTACTCCAATTGGCTCACTGCCTAAGTTTTATAATTTCTGACCATTCCTCATTGGAATTTTATTAATTTCTAATTTGTTTTTTTTGTAAATTGATCTGAATCTCGAGTCTCAAGTCCCAAGTCTCTTTAATCCTAACCTACTTCTTATGAATTGACAAAGACGTGCTTGTCCAAAACATTAATTAATGGTTTGTTAGAAAATAGATAAATTAATAGAAATATGAGTTTGAAAAAAATGTCAGATTGCACAAGAGGACAGACCCATTGCAACAAACCTTTTTTTATTGTTATTTAAGAACTTTGGCATTGATTTTTTTTTTCCCAACAATATTTAAATAGCATTTGCTCTATTTTCTCAAAGATATGCCCTCTTGAAAGATCTATATACTACCCAAAGATGTTTCTTCAGGGGAAGTTGATGCTAGTTTAGGAGAAAGTTTCGTTCTGAAAAAAAGTAAGGGACTTTTTTTGTTTTCTTCACTAAGTCTCTCTCAAAATTCATTATTATTTTTCGACCGTAAGCCAACGGACAGCATTTTTTTCCGTGCGCACCAAAGTAAATATTCGAAGGAGAAAATACACATTGATCTCCATTTGGCTTGAAAAAAGGCTCGTATGGACAGAAGGACTAATGGATAAGACTGACCATACCGAAAAGCACGTGAATACGCAAAAGCAAGGCATTTGTTTTACAATATTTATTTACAATATTTATTTACAATATTTATTTACAATATTTATTTACAATATTTATTTACAATATTTATTTACAATATTTATTTACAATATTTATTTACAATATTTATTTACAATATTTATTTACAATATTGTAAACGCGCTTTTTAATTGGGGTTATTTTCTTCTTTCGAATTCCCTTTCGTTCAGCTTCGAGATTTTTTTTTGCGTCGTCGTTATTAAGGTCAGGTAGTATGCTCCTTTCGCTTTTTCTTTTCTCGTCAGTTTGTAATTAAATGCTGATAGTATGAGCAACAGTTGTCCTTGATTAAACATAAATGTATATCCTTTTAGAATTAAAACACTGCACGTAAAATTTCTTTGTCCAAATTAAATAGTCGTTACTTGGGTAGACTGAGACTTATATGGACTGAATTCGTATACCATTCACCTCGAGGGACCCTGAGCACGCCGAAGGGTCCATAATTGTTACAAGTTTACTTCTAAGGTTGAAAAAAATAATGAGCACGTCTAGCCTGGCTCTGATTATTATGTAATAATAATTTAATTTGAGAAGAAATTAATATACATAACTACATGACTGAAACATTGATTAATCAGTCAAGCTTAACACTTGATCATAGCTCTGGAATGAGAGCGCTCAACGATTAGAAAGCATTTGGTAGCGTTAGGCATAGTACCCTTACAACAAGTCCGCGAGCAGGGGGAACCCGCATTCTACTAACACGTTGTAGAGTTTACCCACATCCACCACGTTGCAGCTATTCAAAATAACTGAAAATGGATTTTTAAAACGATTGTCGAGACAACGGATCTGAGCATCGTTAAAACCCAGCTTCTCCGCAACAATCTTCCACTCATCACCTCCTAAAAATTAAATATGGAGAAGATACAAAATTCAGAGAAGACAAACACAAATGTTCTTTAAGCTTGTATGTCGTAACATATATTAGTTGTAATTATAACTAGGGTTTTGTTTGACTTCGCGACCTTTTAGAGCCCATGATGACAAACTGTTGCAAAAAAGAGATCACCCGTGTCGTTGTAACTTAAATTTACATTTGAATTCATTTGTAATATATTTGTTCACGGTTATTTCCCAAGATGTATGTACGAAACACTAGTACTGACTTCATTTCTTCACATTTTTGGAAATTCCCCCAGTGTGGAGAGGGCGTTGGTGAAGTAAAAAATAATGCAATATTATTGATATAAACTGGTGCAATTAATTATCCAAATAAACCAAGAAACAACCCCTTCTAGAAATTACTTAACTTACCACACAAATGCACAGCTAGATCAGTTTTCAGGCGGATGGGAATTTCCAGAACAGTGCGACTTTCTTCAAGTAACGGACCTAAGGGTAAAAAAATAAGGATTCACATTTTGCACGTTTCTAAAGCCATACGGACATCGTAGAATTTTTGAAAATGTAAATTTTTTAGGTTTTGAGACTAATGTAAAACTACACAGCTTGAAGATTTCAGGCTATCCAATTAAGGTGATTCCTCGTATTGCACTGCTCATCCTGTACTGCGCATAACATCGCGTAAATGGTACTATGGTCTCTTGCTCTGGGGATGTGACCTATTTTTTTAATTGCCCAATCTTACTTTACAAATTACCCCATTTAAATAAAAAAAATGAAAACAAAGTTTATTGGATAAATGATAAAGCTAAAAGGGTGCACAAAGTCCCTCACTGGAGGAGGCAAATATGACCTTCGAAGCAACGACTCGATGAACGTTTTGAGTCGATGTCGTTTATAACCGCGTGGTTTTTTCCATAAATCATTTATTTAATTCGCTCGGGACTTTTCACCTATCAAGACTTTTTTTTGAAGTTTCAATTTGGAAACGCTTGCTTCCAGCTACCGCAAAATGTACCGTGAACCAACGAAGTAGCGCGCAAGATTAGTCCCAAAACGGGGTGAGGTTGACCAATCACGTCTATTTGGCAAACACAGAAACACAATGACCTTTCTCATCTTATAGTAGCTCTCAAAATAGAGATTAATAAGGAACATTTCAGGAAAGTTTCAAAGAAAACGTTTTATACTTTTTAATTCTGAGGAATCACCTTAAGTTCTCCTTTCTGTCGAGTAGTTTGGATATTCAACAACAATTTGGCTTTAAACAGCTAGTAAATTCATCAACTAGATGCAAAATATCTTCGGTCTGGTATTTACCAATGATGACTCTGTGGTTAACAAACTAGAAGTAACTGCTTGGTATAAGTGATCATGATATGATACCCTTCGATCTTCTGATTAACCGTGAAAAGAAAAGGTTGCAGAGGTGGAAAGAACAAAGCTAATGCAGCCAAAGTCAAGTTAGACATGTCAACTTTTCAAAGTTGCTTCCTGAAAGATCTATCCCCTGTACCTGGACAACCGTGGGACGAATTTGAATCAGCCATATTGCCTACGTTACAATA